AAAAATGCTCTTGATTCAATCGGACTTTTTGCTTGAATCAAAAGGAAATCCGCCTGAATCAAGGAGCTCGGCTCTTTGATTCAAGGAAAAATCGGATCGAATCAAGAGTATTTTTTCTTGTCAATGTTATTAAGAATCTGGACTCCAGATCCGAGCAGCTTTTTTTCCCAGTACGATAGATTGCTTGAAATTCGAAAGCGGGTGATATTCCTGTACCTGCCGGCAACAATGCCCTCTGAAAGTGAGAAGGAAAACTCTGACGTGAAAAATGCACAGATGCAGTTTTGAGTTCCACACCGGATTCGGGTCGGGCTTTGTGGTTCAGTGGGTCGGTTTTTGAGAGCTGCTCTATGATTAATTTCCCTCGGTGAGTTACGCCATAAATCTGACGGATGGAGGTGGGTCACCGTTGATGACTGATGAAGGGCCCAATCTGGAGTTAGCAACTACTGTCATAAAAATGCAAAATTCGTTCGGAGGTATGGAGGCAGAAGCTAGGAATTGGGGGTATATCACTCTGCTGCACCAGGGGGAAAATGTCGGTTCGTATTCAACACCAATTTTCTTGGTGATGATAACCGAGACACTCGGTCCCAGAAACCAAAATTCGGTTCAATCAGTCAAAATTAGGTTCTCATGACCGAAAACTGTGGTTACTTGGCCCGTAAAAGTTTGTTGTTCACACGCGCCGAAGTTTAGTTCCCCTAACCGAAGATTTTTACTTAGTTTAAGCTTCGTACAGCACCCAATTATTTCTTATTATTGCCAACAAAGAAGAACAGCCGATGGGTCATTTTTGTTAAACTTCATTTCTAACCGTTTTACACATATTACATGGATGCGAAGCAGTTAAAAATGTATGAGACCACCTTTGCACTCGATTTCAACCCTTTGAACTTCATACAGCACCGAAATTATTGAGCAACCAAAATTCCTTAAATTTATAATACTCCATACAGTTAAAAATTGTAATTTCTCACCTTAGATTATACTTTTCCCAACATTTCTATATCATTTTTCTCTTACTTTTTTTCCTTTCTTTTTTTCTTTTTCTTTCTTAGTTTCTTTTAGGTGCTTAATAGCATTCACTATACTTAGCTTATAGCTTTTAGGTGCCAATATTATTGCTATGGAGCCGAGTAAATTTTATGTACTACTACCATTACTTATTTATATATTTATTTATTCCCTGTTTTGTTACTCAGGAGGAAAGTAACGCCCAAATTTTCAGAATTAAGTTTGCTTCAAGATTCTACTAATCTAATTTATGAACGTATTGACTCGATAAAACCGCAAAATCCGTTTAAAAATGAGACTTATATGTGAGAGAGTAGTGACGTCAGCTGCTGACTATTGACGTCATTTCAAACAAAACAGCGGTAAGTCCACATTAATCCGCGAGAGAGCTGCACTCACTGCTGTCGCTGCTGTCTTGCCAAATATGAATTGAGAAATACCCTTTTAATAGATTTGAATTTTAAATTCATCGATTTTCAAGCTGCCGTCACCGTACGATTCCTTGAAGTCTTTTGGAGGATTACTGACGATTTTACAAAAAACCGGAGGGCACATTCAATAAAATTTTCTTCGTGGATGCTAGAAGATCCAGTTTCTCAATAATTCATTTTTTCACACTTGCTTTTCTCCTCAGTTATACGACAGTAATTAATGTCAAAAAAATGAGCGATTCGTTTGAAGGTATATACGCAAAATATAGACAGGTTAGGGGTACGTATGCCGGAAGGTGATTCTACCCTATTTATTAGAGTGTATCGTTAGGCCTTTGGGCCGGGGTCCTGTCCCCCGGTTCCACCTTGTTAAGATTCTCTGATAAATGAAAAATGAAGCCCGGAAGGGTTAAAAAGTAAAAAAAAAAAAAAAGTTTGACAACCGGAATCTAATAATCGGGCGAAAAAGGAAAAAGTGAGTATTATCTGATACAACCCGATAAAGAAGGAAAAAGAAACATAACTCTTACTTCCTTTTTGCGTAATGCAATCCAATTATCTGCGAGAGAACCAAACTTATGAATCTTAAAGTTCTTCAAAAGTTCAATCCCACGATTCGGAGAAAAATCCAAGGAGGCAACAGTGCCTACCGCGAGGGTATTTTCGCAATTCATTATCCAGCATCGCGGAGTGAGTCTATTTAGACTGGAAACTCCTCGCGGAGTGACTCTGTAAATTCAATCGCGGGCGCTCAAAAACACCGGTTGCATACTGCACCAGCCCCGTGAACCGAGGTTCCCGGCGGAGGTTGTTTCACCACTTGATAAATCGACAATCTTCCTGTCCGCGACGTGCGACGTGCCGGGGACGCCATCCCTAGGCGATCCTCATCTTGAACCTACAGCTCCGCACTGCCGCCGTCTCCGTCTTACCGATGGGAGCGGAATAACGCTCGGATTTTCGACGTCAAGTTGTCTCAATTCTACTAATCTAGTTGAAATTACCTGTTCGAAAAAGCAAAAGTGTTGGAGACACAAGATAAGTAAGTCAATTGAATGACATGCACTGAAAAAAAAAGAATCTTAAATTTGTCGCCAAAAAGTATTTTTTCTTAAATCAAGAATTTTGCAGTTTGATAGAAACTAATTTTTCACTTAACCCAAGCATTAATTTCCTTGCATCAAGGAAAAATCAGTTTAAATCAAAATAAACCAAATTCTTGGCGGCAAATTCAAGAATTATCATGTTTGAGCCAAGCACCTTTTTTTCAGTGTATAGCAGAGGTCATAGCAAATAGCTTTGGTGTTTCTATCGAAAAATCGTTGGTTTGAAAGGAGTACAATTGGCGCCAATTTTTACTATACTATACCATACGAATTTTTTGAGGATCTAATTAAAATTACCTATGCGGAGAAACGTGTTAGTGTTGGAAACACGAGACAAGTAGGTCAGTCGAATCGCTTTTAGCAGAGGTCAAAGCAAATAGTTTTTGTTTTTCTATCGAAAAATCATTGGTTTGAAAGGAATACGAGGTTATAGGACATTTCGTCAACCAATTTTTGTCCGCGCACAGGTTTTTTCTAGTAGCTTACGTCCGAGCGTTCTTTCGACAGGGGAGTTTTGGTCCACTTACTAATAAATTGAAACCCAAAGTTAATTGGTCCACATGTAAATACAAACGACAATAATTGCTCACGACTTTTTAGGATGAAAATGTATAATAACTTGGAAAAATGACGGTTTGCTTGTTTATTTGGACCAACTGAGAAAAATATACAATCGAGATTTTTGGTAAAAATGTGGGAGTGGCAATTGCATGAGGGAAAATTTACTAAAACTCTTTACACCTCTTTGGTGCAACAGGGCTCAATTATCCTTCAAGAAAATCTCGTCTTGTTATACCTGAACTGGATAAACCTGTTGATTTGCCTCAAGTAAGCTCTTAGATTTTTCCTATGCACGATAACTTCGCGACGGCGCCGGCGCGGCGTGCCGCGGCGCTTCGAGCTACTATTTTGCCACGGATGTGTTGCACAGTATCATACGAGATTGAAGGCACTCCAACGTTTCATGATTGATGGCACCTTTTAAAAGCACGAAGTTCCCTCGCAAATTAAATCAAGTAACGACGGCAAAAAGAGAACAGTAGTCGAAAAACTTATTTGGTCCTAGTATCATGTATTCAAAAACGTCTACCATGATTTTTAAACTTCATTACAGGAAAAATTGACTTGATTCAATCAGATATATGCTCAAATTTACCGCCGATAAGATTTTCTTTTGAATCAATACAGAACATAATGATTGTTTAAAGAAGAAAATGCATATATGCTTATCTAAAAAGAGAAGTCACTGACATCAAGCATAATCCCGCTCTCATTCAATCATTTTATTCTTGATGCAAAATAAAATCTTCTTGACGGCACACTCAAGAATGTTTCTGCTTAAATTGAGTCACTTTTTTCTCTATTGAAATTCAAAAATTATGCTAAACTTTATTAAATACGGATGCTAGGACTTTGTGTGTTTTTGGACTACCGCTCTTGTTTTGTGCTGTAGTATCTTGATTTATTTTGCGAGGAAATTTCCATACTCTTAAAGGATGCCTGGCATTCTTAATATGTTTGGCACCTTCAATTTCGTATTATACTGTGCAGCCCCTCTGTTGCGAAATAGTTGCTTGAAGCGGCTCGGCGGGCGAGGGCGACCAACGCGACACGCGCATTGGCGCCTACAAACCTAACAGGGATACTTCACGCATTGCGCAATGCGTGAAGTATTCCTGTTAGGTTTGTAGGCGCTAGTGCGCGTGTCGCGCTGGCAGCACGCCGCGCCACTCCGCTCTGTATTTGACCGTAATATTTAAACTCGCGGAGTCCGCATTTTTCAACTTATGATTTTGGAATGTTTGCATAGTTCTTATTTGAACTGATTAAAAAAAAAAAGGAGGGGTAAAAAAGAGGATTTTGAAACAGAAGTAAGTGCATGCGCAAAAATTGACGTCCTCAGATCAAACAGCGTATAAGTTTAGGACCGCAACTTTCTAAATTATTATTATTTTTTTTATATATAAATAAAATGCATTTTTGACCACTGCTAGCTAATCTTCTTTACTTAATCTAAAACAAGAAAGAGCGGTAAAAAAAACCTTATCTTTATGGAAACGAAATCGGAGCAGTGAAATTTTCGTGAAACCTTTTCCCCGTCGCTTATCATATAAAAAGAAGGGAGAACAGTGCGGTGGTACATTTCTTCAAAGCCCACGGTGCTTCGAGAGGGAATTCCAATCCCTCCGATTGATTTTCGAAGCCACGTTCCGAAGAATCAGATTATCCGCGCCACCCTCGCTTTATCAACGCGGATAAGGGCGCCTCTTCTGCGGGCGTTTTCTTTAAACATGTCATCGTTTTGCTTATGCTCGGGAGTTTGGCGCGGAGTAAATTACCATCCAAGCCAAACCCTCCTCGGCTGAGTGCATAAGGGACGAGTGTCTCCATCAAGAGAGGGAGGGAGGCGAAAGTGCGGGCTGAAAATAAGGGTGGGGGTACTTACTCGCTATTTAGGGCGCAGGAATGCTTGTCCTCGGAGTCTCAGAGGCAAACAGATCCATTTCCGATGACGGCCTGATGAGATCCTCGTCTGCTCCACCGCACTCTCCGCTAGCACGGGTCGAATCCGGACAGATTACCCCCCGCGCCCAGCATCCCCCCTCGCCGACCCCACGCCCGCGCCCCCAAAACCCCAATTTTTACGCCAGGGGTCGCGGTTGCCACGCTCGAAATCCGGATTTTCACAGAAAACACCTCTTTTCAACGATTAACTTTTCGACGATTGTTTCTTTCTATGGCAACAATTCAACGAGTTCGTTTACGGTTTCTTAAAGAAATAATCGCGCACACTTCTGCATTTAATGATGCCGAGAGAGGATATTTTTAATCACGACGATGCACTAATCTTACAATTTTTATTTTGAGAAATAAATTATTGTTTTTAGAATGGATTGACGAGGCGAGTTTAAACTCGGGAGGCCCTTAAAATCCGCCAACGGACGCGGAAACGTTGGGATAATGGCAAAGGTTGTTTATGGAAATGCAAATTGGAGATTTTGAAAATTTGAAGGTAGGAAAGCGCGGGTATTGGGAAAGCATGTGGGAAATTTTTGCGTTAGGTGACCAGGTCTCAACTAAAAGTTGAGGGACACGGGATTGGATTCATTGTGGATCAGCGTACGTCACCCGAGGATTCTTTCTTTTTTTTCTTTTTTAACAAATCATAGGTGATGCATTTAGGAGATGAAGCTCATTTTGCGTTTCTAATGGGAAATTTTGATAAGCAGTATTTGAAATTATTGCTAAACACCTCTTAAGAGGATGCAGGGACTCTTCCAATTATGCAGGAAATTTTATAACTTGGGATGGAGAGAGAAATAACTTAATAAAAAAACCAACCGAACTGCTTTTCTGGCCTTCTTTGCTCCTACACTCAAGACCCTGATACACTCGTCTAACTCCTTACTCGTGATAGTTTAAACTCGTCCATACATTATTCAAAAATCGCGGAGTTCTGATAAGCCGCCTCTGGCCCTCTGGAGTTAGTTCCCGCGACTTGACATCAAAGGGATGAACTGGATGCGAAGTTGTTGCGAACCCTGTCCCTTTCTCCACGCGAGGCGCGGTTTGAGTTCCACCAACTGAAATCTTAATGTCCGCCGAGTTGAGTGAATAGAGACTCGAGTCTTCGCCAGCAGCTGAAATCAAACGAATAAAAGCACAGGCTTAAAACAAGATGAAATGAACGCGAAGCAAGTGCGGTCTCGCTCTTGCCGTACAACGTTTCAAAGTGGGATTTAAAAAAAAAAAATTCGCCGGAGTAAACACAATGGTTCGTCCTGTTAAAACGTTCAAAAATTATTCTTAATTCCATCTTCTGAAAGAATTAATGAAGTGTAAAACGTTCAAAAATTATTCTTAATTCCATCTTCTGAAAGAATTAATGAAGTGTAAAATAGCATGGTCTGCATGAAAAATCTGTGAAATGGACGGAGTTAAACAGAAAGGAACCAAGCCACATCGGGATCGAACCGAGAAAAAGAGGTTTAAAGTTTGGCTCCTGCATAAGACTCAATGTAAAAGATAAACTTCAAGTTCAATTTCTGCAAAATTTGCTCCAACAAAATCTTTGAATTTTTGGCGATAGATAGTAGAGCAGTGGTTGAGTTCAAAACCACTCATAACTCAATTTTTTCCAAAATGTGGGTTGGTTCCTTTCTGCTTAACTCAGTCCAAATGACCAATCATCATGTTATGGACAATGTTTACAGAATACTTTTACGTTCAAAGTATACTTTTTGACTGTCAACTTTTGACGGGAGATAATTTTTGACAAGTTTAATTCAAAGCTACCACCAACTATTTTTTACCGAAATACTCATTGGTTAATTATCTGTAAATCTGTTAATTATTCGTTCCAATTGTCAGTATCCAAGTGCATTAATGAGACTGTAGTAGTGAATGCAAATTAGCATAATAAAAATTGCATAATGAGTTATTTTGAGTATATGTATATATTTTTCAAGCAGAATTGTGGGATTTGTTTTTCTTTTTGAATATGATTTTTTAAGCGTTAATCAAGGTAATAATTTTAAAAGAGTTGTTTTCTCCTCTTAAAATTACATCGATTGATTTTTTTTTTTTTTTGGAAAGGGTATGCGCTGAAAATAGATTTTCCCTTTACGCGCAATACTGTGAGTTATATTTATGACAGGTATTTCTTTTTGGGCTCGAAAGAATACCTCGCAAAAAGGAGTCATCATCATTTTAAGCACAATAACAAGAAAGAAGACATCAGATCAGCCCCAGTTCGTCTTTTGTAGCGAGTAATAATGAAAATTACCTTGCTTTGTAAGTATGTACAGAATCTTTTGAGATGAAAAAGATTTTGAGGAGTGGAGGCACGCTCTGTCAGTATGAAATAGTACCATCATTGTACAAGAGAAATTGCCCGGCCTTTCCGGCTTTTGAGAGCGATACAGCGGCATTATACGCTCCAAAATATTTGAGGCTTAGCGGGTCCTTTGAATCTTGTTACGTCAATAAATCAAAGGAATTATTAATAAGTACTTCTTGCCAAATTTGGCTCTTATTTTTCAAATTTTTCTCACTTAAAAGGGACTAAGTTATCAACGATAGCATCCACAACTGGACCACGTTATAGAACTGTTTATCCTTTGAAAATGTTGAGGAATTTGCTTTGTACTATGCGGAAAATTCACTTCAATTTGCACAAAAATCAACAGAACCGTTTTCATGTAAAAAATTAAATTGCCCCATTAAATTTGGCAGTAGATGATGTGGCTTGGTTACTTTCTGCTGTTTAACGTGGTCCAACTGTGGTATCATAGAGATGGACTAATTCCATTATTTGAGGTTAAGACTAGATGTATTTAAAATGACTGCCAGCACATTACAACTGTCATCTTTTCTGCATATTCTATATATTTAGTATCTTAATAAAATGTGAAAGTAACAGAGAAATCATCATCTGTATGTTCTCGCACGTAATTCTCTTACTACGAGTGTTTCGGAAGTAATGCTTCATTTTCTCTTATAAGAATTACAGAGAAAAATATTCCTTGAGTGGCGGACAACGAAAATTTGGGTAAAGTCAACTTTTTCTTTAATTGGAGCCTAAACCAACGTATGATAGTTTAACCATCTAGATGACCATCTGGCCGAGACCCACCCCATGGTGGGGTGATAGTGCGAAACGGATGGAAATCGAAACCCCCGACTTTGTTTACATAGCCGGCGGAACAAGATGCTTAAATTGTCATATCTTCGATAAGATTCGCCACTTTTTCTCCCGGAAGAACTACAAAAAAAAAAAAAAAAAAAAAAAAAAACTTTTTCTTTAATACTCAAAAATATGAATTTTTGACTATCAGAAAAAAAAATTAAAATTTTTTCTATAAAACTTTGCCGACCGCTGACAGCCTCTTCGCTACCATTGTATTGGAGCTTCTCGCTTCATTTTTGGATGGAAAGAGGGTGGGCTACGATCAACGTTTAAACTATTAGACCCTTTATCTCGGATTGCGACATTGCAGATTTCTTGTGTTATCGTAAGTTTTACTTTGATAACTGATCATCGTTGCCGTCAATTTCCTCGTACATGAATATTTGAAACTTGCAAATATGGAGAGTTGTTTAATAGTGCGCTATTGAAATAAAATGTAGAGGAACAATGCTCTTGAAACGCTGCAATGAACTCTTTGATGTTCTAACCGGGACATATTGACCTAGACTTGCTAAAAAACAAGTGCCTCGCGAGTTTTATAGGGCTGACACATACGAGTTACATCTAGGTCTGCAAACACATCGAAAAAAAAAAGAATCAGACTTCAAATTGAAAAAAAAAGAAAGAAAAAATCGAGTGACTGGGCTTTTTTTTTTGACAACTACCTCTAGAAATCTCTGCTGGGTCAAATTGATCCGACTATCTCTTCTGAGGTAGTTATGGGGCCGGAATATATGAGGTTTAAAAATAGGCATCCAAATACACAATGAAAAAGAACCAGACATCAAATTGAAGAAAAAGAGAAAAAATTCTAGTGTCAACTTGTCAACACAACCGAACATAGGAGAGGCGCACTCAGACCTGGTTTTTTTTCAAATTTTCTCCCGAATCTGAGCGACGCCTTTTCAGCAGCGTAGGGCGAAGCAGTTCGAGTTCACGTCTCGCACTATAGCGCCTTCAATTTTACGGACGCAACGCGGACATCCATCAAGCACGAACAGTTGTATCACTGCGCCGTCATCAACGCGCGTCCTTTCCCTTGATCTACCTCCATATTATGTTTGCTTCCGTTTGTCTTATATTTGTAAGGGTGCCTCAGGTGCTACGGGAACAACACAGAATATAGGAAGTATGAAATCATTACCAATAAAGTAACTTTTTTGAAACAGAAGTTCAAACGTGCCGTTCATTAAAAACCATAACCGACACACTAAATGCTATACCGTAGAGTCTTCGAAGTATTAAGATACGGCAACTTCAATCTCGGCACTTTGGCTCAGCTGCTGCGCGTTGCTCGCACTTTGAACATCATAGAGTGGGGATTCAGGAAAGGAACGCTACCACATTATGAAGGCTGCCAAAACCGTTGTATTGCGCGATATGACTCTCGTATACTCTGGTTTTTGCTGTCTAGCGGAAAATTCAAAGTTTCGTATCCAGTACCGAATAAAGACGTTAATATCTTGGTTAGGAGTTAATTTTAGTTATTTTCGTTTCGCGAATAGTGTTTTGCGTGAAATTTCGAAAAGGACTCAAATATTAAAAATCTTGACTTTGTACCTTGTCTGGCGGTCCATTGAGATTATGGTCTTTAGCCCCATCCAATGCGAGGCCTCCGCGGGCTCACCACTGAAATTAATAGATAAAGCTATAGACAAAGACGATATAGAGAGTATGGAGCGATCCTATTGGTTGAAATGGGTGGTTCCTATCAGTGCTCCCATTTTCCGGAACCAGTACCAAATTTCGGTATTTTTGAGATTTTTCTGAATTTTTTCCGGAACTTTGGAAATTCCCGAAATGTTCCGAATCTTTTGCATTTTCTGGAACTTTCTAGGAACTTTTGAAAATATCTAAAAAGAATCCCGGAACTTTTGAAGGTCGTGGAGTGGGAGAAATTGGAACATATAAGTTCCGAATTCCGGAACTTTTGACGGATATGGAATGGGAGCACTGGTTCCTATTGACTAAGGTATAAATTGATAGACCAACTATCGGGTCTCTCTTGGGTTGCCCTTAGTTAGTCTATTATCCTTGACCCCTTTGTCCATTTGCAACCACCCACATCCACCAGTAAGATCTCTCCAAATCTCTTTTGTCTTCTTTGTCGATAGCTTTGTCTATAGGTTTCAATAATCGGCTCGCAATTCACCTACATTCCCGACTCATGCATCGCACGGATGGAGTTGATATAATCTCAGGAAGGAGAGAACACTTCAAAGCAATCTTGCAGCTTACTGCATTGTTCATGGAGTCCGCTCGTGGGAAAGAGCCCATAATCTTTTTAATTTTCCGTTCGCTCCAGTAAAGCTCCCGAATAGGGAGGTTTTCGAGCACCGGGAGTGCTGGGAGACCGCTCAAAGAAATCAAGGCGGTGCCGTAACGAGTGGTGAAAGTTTTAACGGCCCCATCAAGGCAAAGGTCGTTACGCCCCGATCATGTAAACACGCTCGCGAGCACAAACATGAACTTTAATAAATTTGAAGCGAAATTTGAATCGCCTGCATTTGATCGGCACTCCGAAACCCGAGATAAAAAACTTTTATCTTTGTTCCTGTTTTCCATCATTTCATTCCCGGCGTGATTGCGATGCAGAAACAACGGTTCGGGATATTTCTTTCCTGTTTTCAATGTCGCTAAGGGTGGCGTTATTACTTGTTTTTTATGAAAATGTCATCGTTTGTTGTCGTTGTTTTTAATGCCATTATCAACGAGTATGATTATTATAATATTATTTGGAAGAGTAAACTTGGAAATACTGCATTAATTAGAATGTTAAATGGTAATCCGAAAGTTCCGCGCTACGCCCCTCCCTGATGTTTTGGTAATCTATCTATCCATCTAGTTTAAACTTTGGAGTTTTTTAAGTCAAAAAAGCTCCCCAACTTTTTGTCACAGGTTCTAGAAGCGACAGTATGATTACACGGAGGAGTATGATGAAGCCGATATTAA